AAGACTGTGGTATTGAGAAAGTCTATGCTTTTGTCACTTACGTTTGCGGTTAGTTTGATAGAAGGATGGTGGTTGTTGAGAATTTCAAAGAATTCCCAAAACTGTTCGATAGAATAAGTCCAAACCATAAAAATGTCATCCAAAAAGCGTCCGTAAAAAAGTGGGTCAAATGGAATTTTTTATGTTTCGTAAATTGTACAAATTCGATGAAATGTACCTATTATTTATTACGCCTTTATTTTAAATACATGTCTTGTTACTTAACCGAGGTACAGCAATTAAACGGTTAATATAAAAGATTTGTCTTATTCATTGGCAGTAAGGAATGGTGAACATGAGACACATTTTGACCGTCCCAGGTATAGAAGTTAGAGCTTCCACCTCAGGAATAGAAGGTGCGGTCCCAAGCCGCAACATACCAAAATCGTACGACCATATGACCGAATTACCTTGTCCAGTTATTACTATGACCAAATTACCTTGTGCCCTTATTTCTGTGGCCAAAATACCGTGTGCCCGTATTACTGTGACCATATTTTGGGTGACCATATTAACTGTGTCCCATTGCCCAAATCTATTCACATCTTTGGTTATTTTTTATACATTATACTGTGGTCGTATATAGTCCATCGGTCCGTCTGTCCACAATTGGTGAACGCAACATAGTCACCAGTTTTTTTTTATCTGATTTTAAGGAAATTTGGTGTGATCACTTATATTTATGAGATATTGGACAAGTTCGAATTTGAAGGACTTTCGATGAACGGTTTTTGAGTTACTGGCCTTGTCTAATGAAAAACGCGTCAAAATTTGTTTGTGAACACAATAGAGACAACAGTTTTCATTCGATTTAAATGAAATTTGGTGTGATAATTTATAGTGATGCGATCTTGTTTAAGTTTCGATAAACGGTTTTTGATTTCGGGAAGGGAGGGTTTGATTCTCCCAAATGTACAGGGTGGAACAGATACTTTATTTAGAGATTAGGATTAAGGGTCCTGATGCTGGTTTTTCTTCTGTTCTGAATCTTATCTGAAATTGGAAAAAATAATTCGCACAATGGGCGAGAAGTATAGTATCTGTTATGTACTTATTGTTTTGAGTTTACTATGATCAATATTATCATTTAAGTTCTTATTCATTGAATAAACAACTATCAATTTCTGCTTAAAGACATGGGGGACCTTCTCTGTGGAGGATAGTCAACATGAACTATCTTGCTTGCTCGATTGTTGGTTGTATTGAACAGGACAACTAACATTGTTTGTGATCACAATAGAGACTACAGTTTTCATCCGATTTAACTGAAATTTGTGGGAATATTGCTAATGATGAAATCTTTGATAAGTTCGAATTTGGCTATCTTGCGATAAACGGTTTTCCAGTTATTGCACTTAGGAAAAACGCGTTGAAATTTGTTTGTGAACACAATTGTTACTACAATTTTCATCCGATTTAAATGAAATTTGGTGTGATCAATTATAATGAGATCTTAGTGAAGATTGAATTGGAGTTATTTCCCTTGACTTAGTAAAAACACCTCAAAATTTGTTGGCTTGTTAAAGTGATAGAGGCGACAGTTTATGTCAGAATTTTATTAAATTTTGGGTGTTTGTTTAAATGAACGACATCTTGGTACGATTGTTGACCGGCTTTGATATACTGAAAATGTATCAGGAAAGTGGGCGTATCTTGCTAGGCAACCACTTGTTTATCATTATTGTCATTGTTGTCATTGTAGTTTGTGTCGCATCCAAATTGTCAACAGCTTCTTGCGTCATTATGGTATGAAGGATTGCCGGGCTTTAGACGCAAAAACGTTGTGGCTAAAATATGTATAATCCAAGCGATTGGATTTATGTTCCCGATTTTGTCATTATGTTATCTTCTTATACCAACCTGTTTTCTGGGTCAACTAATAAGGAAACCATTTATCAAGTTTATTATCCACAGTGCTTCATACATAACATTTCTATGTAAGTTTATTTTTATTTATATCTTAAATTATCGTGAAAATTTATTATTCCATGAAAAGTATGACAACAATTTAAAGTCAAAAATATATACCAGACAGATTTATGCTACATTAAGGTCCAATATAAGGAAAAATGAAACATTTGGGATTTTTATACACATTCTAGTGTATAATGAGGGGTCATCCATGACCCATTGGGTTAACAACAAAGCACAATCTTGAATGTACTTTAAAAAGTAAGCTTTTATTGATCACTTTTAAACATTTTAAATTTAATTCCAGACATACTCTAGAGCTACACATGGCACAGAGTGGGATTTTGCTTATGTAGGAAATTGCAAAAGTCTATGAAAAAATCAACATTCTAGGTTAATAAGGTCACGTGCCAGTCAGTCTAATGGTCGAAGGTTGCGAAACCTGAAGTATATGTCAGACATCAGAAATCAATGTATCAGCGAATAGCCAAAGTCAATGACATTTGATTTTGTAAAGGGGAAGTTCAACAGAGGTCAAGGTCACGATATATAACTAATTAAAAATCTGACAAATCAACCCTCTAGGTTAATTATGTCACGTGCTAGAGTAGTCCAAAGTTGTGAATTTTGCTGTTTCAGACAGCCATTAAACCGGTTGGAGGTCAAATATAAAAGTTTTAAACTTCGAAAAATATCAACTGGAAATTGCAAAAAGCAAAAAGCGAAATTCAAAAATCGGCTCCCTAGTTTTTGTTGGCAATTTATTGTTTACAGATTACATAGTCATCAAAATTATACTCATCCAATTCTTCCATGAGGCCCCATTTTGAGTTTTACAAAAGTATGTCATATCAATATGGCGGCCAGGGAATCACTACCGGTCTGGTTTTATTTTAAAATCGAAATCGAATTTTATTTCCTAAAGACCTGCCAAATTTTGTTGACCTACATAAATCAAACCAGTAGTTATTTAACCGGAAGTTAAAATCAAACCGTAAGTGAAGCAAACAATTTGACTGTACCATGTTGTTTACTTTAGTAATCTATTTTCGCACCTAAAATTTCAAATTAATTGAAAAGAAAGCAAAAAACGTTCTTTTGGTCAAAAATTGCAAAATTCGGCCGAAAAAAGTACGCGGCAAAATTTTCGAATTCTGAAATTTTTTAACTGCCATCATGCAGATTCCTAAATTGAAAACCAAAAGAAAATCACCCAAATAATGTGACCTCTAAAGCCTATTTTCTGCTGGTTATGTGCAAATATGGGTTTGCAAAATTAACAACGTTGCCACTACAGAAGGTCCACAAATGTAGAAATGTTGCCCCAGCTGTAAGTGCCTCGGATGTGTGCCCTGTGGAAAAATCGGAAAGAAAGAACAAGAGCCACATGTGGCACAGAGTGGGACTTTAGAGACTCTGAAAAATCAACCTTTAAGGTTAAATATGTTATAATGATATATATATATCTATATGTTAGTAATTGTAGATTACTTTGATATAGTCAGCACCATTCCAATATACTCTCATAGCACTGGTGTTAAAATTGTACAGCCTCTCGACGAAAAGGCAATGGTCATTTCTAATAGACCAATGGTCAGTGAGGTCAGGTAGGTCTATTTTAACTGACCAGGTATATTGTGTACGACTTCTTGGAATCTGCTGCATTTTGTAGGAATCTAAGATTGCCGGACGAAGTATAGATTTGGGGGGTGGTATATATACATTTGGTAAAGAAAAGGATGAATCCTGTTGAAAATCAGAAAAATCTATAAATATTTAGTATGAGTTATTGCCCTTGTTCTTAAAACGCTCTTTTTTCTGGACGGGTTTTGATGAAACTTGGTGTGAGTGTTTGTAATCACTCAAGTATAGGCCCTATCGAAAATCAGAAAAATTGAAAAATATTTAGTAGGAGTTATTGCCCTTGTTCTTGAAAACTCGTTCAATTTTAGCTTGTAAACACTCTCAAAGACGCAATCCTTGACGGATTGAAACTTAGTATGAGTGTTAGTAATCACCCAAGGATGAACCTAATTGAAAATCAGAATAATCGAAAAAGAATTAATATTAGTTATTGCCCTTGTTATTGAAAACGCGTTCAATTATTGACAGATATTGACGAAAATGGTGTGAGTGTTTGCTGTCACCTACGGATGAACCCTATTGAAAATCAGAAAAATAATTGGTATGAGTTATTGCCTTTTTTCTTGAAAATGCGTTCAATTTGTAGCACGTAAACACTCTTGAAGGCACAATTCTTGATGGATTTTGACGAAACTTGGTGTGAGCGTATGTAATTATCCAAAGATGAACCCTAACGAAAATAGAAAAATATTATTGCCGCGTACAAGTTTTAGCCTGTAAGACTTAATTGTTGACAGATTTTGATGAAAGTTGGTAATATAATTCAGTATCGCGCCAAAAAGTTCAAAAGAAGTGTATGTCTGAAGGTTGAATATTGGTAATTGTAACTGTACTGCCAAATATTTTTATTCAAAATCAAAGCTGCCAGTGTGCGTATATTACCTTGACTGGCAAGCTATCTTTTGAACTATCGAGCAGAAACAGCCGAGCTTTTAACAAACGCAAAATGGATGAGGTTATTCTGTGCAAAGTCCCTTTTTGAACAAATGTGTATCCTTTACGATGTGCCCCTGCCCCAAAATGTAAACAATTAGTAATGATACCCATCTCAATTTTTTTTGTCATAGGTTAATTCATATTCTAAATGTTTACTTGTCTTTCAAATTTAAAGATTCCACATCAAATAGGTCATAAGATATACATACACCAAGCTCAAAAAGACACGAATTTTTGAAAAAAAAACACACTCAAATTTTAAAAAAATAATTACGAATTTCAATATTTATATATTCCTCTAGGTTAATTAAGTCACGTGCTAGAGCAGTTCAAAGAATTTGGAATGGCTGTATAAAACCGGAGGTCAAATGTCAAAAATATCAACCGATAACTAAGGTCAATGACCTTTTTACCCTGAGGCCCCATTTTGAGTTTTACAAAATACACTCAAATTTTAAAGAAATTACGAATTTCAATATTTATATATCCCTCTAGATTATTTAGGTCACGTGCTAGAGCAGTCCAAAGAATTTGGAATGGCTGTATAAAACCAGAGGTCTAATGTCAAAATATCAACCGATAACTAAGGTCAATGACCTTTGACCTCATAAAAGTCAAGGTCATCAAAGGTCAAGGCCACGAATTTACAAATTGTAAAAATTAATAAAAGCTAGAATCGGAAGTTGCCAACAAGCAAAAGTGAAATTAACGATTCTGTTTTTTGTGGATACAATACATCAAAATTACGCACATCCATTTTTATCCTGAGGCCCCATTTTGAGTTTTACAAAAGTGTGTCATATCAATATGGCGGCCAAAGAATCACGTCCGGTCTAGAGTTTATAATCGGCTGTAGAATTTTATTTACTAAAAATCAGCCAAATTTTGTTGACCTACATAAATTACACAGGAAGTTAACAACCGGGAGTTTAAATGAATTTCCTATCTAAACCGGAAGTAAAGCAAACAATTTGAATGTACCGTTTTGTTTACTTTAGTGATCTTTTTTGTGCACCCCAAATTTCAGATTAATCAGACAAAAAAAAAATTGAAAAAAATGCAAAATTTGTCCTTAGAAAAAGTGCTACAAATTTTCGAATTTTTAAAGTGTTATCATATCAGATATTGCGAGTAGATTCTAAAAATGACAGGGCTTCCTTGTCTTTCCATGACGACCGCCCACGTTTCTTGGCAGTATTGACCTCTCTATTAATCCACTCGCTGTCGTGGCCAGGAATTTCCTTAGAATGAGTGGCTTATCTTATCCCAGTAGTTGAATATCACGACGGTGCCAAAGCCATACTTTGACGACATGCAAGGTGTATATAGTGCCAAAAAGGTACATACCACCTACGTGACTTCAGAAGGACTTTGTAGCGTGCCACACATGAATCTAAAAGATCCCCCATATTGGGGTTGCACATTTTTGAGTAGAGGCCAGGTTACATCTGCGTACACCTTAGTTGTTTTATCACATCGTTTAAAAACAGTATCGAGAGGAAGCATATTAACACAGGTAGACATTTTAGTATCCGTCCAACGCACCCATACAATGTTGTTTACAGTGTCTCCACCCTGTAGTCCAATAAACCACGCCCGAGTTTAGAGAGTTCTTTCTCTGTTTTTAAAGAACATCCACGCAGAAGGTTAGCACGAACAGTGTCGGTATACTGAAACCCGTTTTGCTTCAGTTGCTCCATCAGCCATAGCAACACAAAGTTCACTGTTTCCGCTCTTATTGGTAAACTTCAAGCGGCACCAGATCTGAAACCCAAGGGTTGGGTTTACCACGAAGATTTAGTTTAATCTGGCTATACCGACCCTTGAAAGGAACCATCATTTCATCAATCGATTGATTTTCCTCAGGAGTTGCATGATGAGTTGTCTACAAAATGGATGGTTCTTAAATGAATTGAAATCTGTTCCTCCTCATCATTTCAGCTACGGGATCGTAACGGGTATCTGTCTCTTAGTACAATCTCACGCTGGACCATATCAAATAATAGAGAAAAAGATCAAATTAAAAAATTATAGAATAGAAATTCGCGAATACTTTAAACATATGTTTATGTATGGTTTATTTTTCCCAGATTTGATATTAATAAAAGATGAAAAACCACCAATTAGTAAATTGATACTTAGTAAACCACAACAAGAAGAAACAGAAACACATGATTTTTTCAAAATGGACAAGTAACGAGTATCTGGTTCTTAGTACAATCTCACGCTGGACCATATCAAATAATAGAGAAAAAAATCAAATTAAAAAATTATAGAATAGAGATTCGCGAATACTTTAAACATATGTTTATGTATGGTTTATTTTTCCCAGATTTGATATTAATAAAAGATGAAAACCACCAATTAGTAAATTGATACTTAGTAAACCACAAGGGAAGAAACAGAAAGACATGATTCTTTTAAAATGGAAATAATTTATTTTGATTTTGAGAATGTTTACTTCAACTGATATTCCTAAATCAACCGGTTGAAGATAAAACAGAGTATTTGTCTATGAGAAAAATTGTTTTATCAGAAATTCACTTAATTCAATTCATAAAAAATGGATACTACTGAAACAGAAAAACCTACCGAAATTGAAATATTACAAAATTTACAAGATGTTATGATATCTCTCTCTCTCTCTCTCTCTCTCTCTCTCTCTCTCTCTCTATATATATATATATATATATATCCCTTCCGTTATTTATTCCGGCTATCTTAGGAGCACTTACAGCTGTTCAAACATCCTCATGTGGATTAATTACTACTGTCTATACCTCTAAAAAGATAATGTATTATGAAACAAAAACAAATTTATAAAAACATATTAAGATAAATTATTATGTTAATCAGACATAAGTTATACCGGAGCGAAGGCCATCGGCTCAATCGCGGAAGCGGGAAAGAGTATAAGCGACACAGTGAAACAATCTAACGAGTTGACAGAATTAGAACTAATAAGAGAACTTCGAAACAGGAGATTAGAATAAAGGAAAGGAAATGGTTTTAAAGTTATAGGATAAAAATGATAGTCGCTCACGCTCCAAAAACTTATTTCGGTTCAGGAGATATACAAAAATCATTGGGTTCTCTTCCTGGATTTCCATGGGCGAAATATCCCGGAGAAAAACATCTTCCCGGTCATAATTACACCGGTCCAGGTACTAGGTTAGGTCTGCGATTAGACGAACACGATAAACCCTAATCAGAAACAAAGACATAAACTTCAGACACGAAGCATACAGACAAATGATAATCGAACTTGAAAATATTCCAAATCCAATTTTCAAAGAGAGAATGGAAAGAGCATTAATCATTAAACTGTTAAAAGCAAAGATGAAATTGGGCATGGGATTAGCGGATGAAATTCAAAAAGAATTTAGAAAAACTAAAAACTTTTTAAAAGTGAAAGTGTTTGAAAAAGATGAAATATGGTCAGACGATTTAATTCATATGGGGTAGGTAAAGGAAGTGAATTTTATAACAAAAATATGAAATCTCTGGGATTTGAAATTTACAGTACGCATAATGAAGGTAAAGCTGTAGTAATAGAAAGATTTAACAGGACTCTAAAAAATAAATTATTCAAAAAATTCACGGAATTGAAATCTCAAAAATGGCTTAAAATATACCAGAGGTTGTAGATGAATACAATAACAAAATTCATTCATCTATAGGTGTCACACCAACAGAAGCCTCGAGTAATCCAAATATTATAAAGTCAATTAACGCGCAACATAACTACGAAAATGAAATAAAGAATTTAAATATCAAACCCAAATTTAAAGTCGGAGATCGAGTTCGCATTTTCAAATATAAAAGCAAATTCGAAAAAGGTTACGTTGGATATTGGACAAACGAAATATTTATCGTTGATAAAGTAAACACCACATCACCTCCGACATATGAATTAATCGATCAAGACAAAGACCAAATCATAGGAAGGTGTTATCAAAACGAACTTCAAAAAACCGACTTTTAAAAAATGAATGAATTTGATAGAAGATTAAGAGATGTAGACAAGTATTTTCGCTTTCTTAAATTTAAATTTATGTTCAAAATATTATTGAATGTGTTTTATCAGAATGTAATACAATTTTTTTCAAACACAAACTATGTATATATTTAAAAAAACCGACTTTTAAAAATGAATGAATTTCTCGATAAATATGGAACCGATACAACCACAAACTTTCAACTTATGAGATGGGCGAATGAGTTAAATATATCACCGTTTTATTTATTGTATGAGAGATGAAATAAATGATCTGAAATATAAGAAAGGTAAATTTTACGCGATAACAAATATACATACTTCCGATCAAAAAGGAGTTCATCATTCTGCTTTGTACAAAGACTCTGACTTTTATTTCTTCGATTCTTGTGGATTAGAACCCACTGAAGAGATAATCCAATTGACTAATAAACCAATCAAATGTTCAACATTTCAAATTCAATTACCGGGACAAAAGTTTTGTGGTCAGCTTTCACTTTGGGTTTTATATCAGTTGAGTTTAGGAAAACAGTTCGAAGAAATTGTAATAAATTTAACTCAATAAAAATGGCGAATAAGTTTGGATTAGGTTCTTTAGAAACCAAAAAACCTAACAGTACAACATGGATAAATAAAGCGAAACCTTACTTTGTGGATCAAATCGTTGATACTCTTCAAGGTGATTTAGATATGAACAATTTTAGCATAACTAATTTAAAGTCTCCGGAAAACGATAATGACGCCGTTCACAAGAAATATTTACGGGATCAAATAAATTCAATTGAAGTAAATAAAAACCATTTAGAAGATAAAATAAGTAATGTGAAAAGATTCTTCAAACGTCAACTAAATAATAAAAATTTTGTTAATGATACTAAACTACAACAAGAGGTAAAAAGATTAATAAGTTTTATTCAAAAGGATTTGGTCAACGTAGCGAATAAAACTGAGTTACAAAATTTAATTTCATTAATATCTAAATTAGAGGATAAGATTGCAAAACAAAAATTAGACATTCAACAATTGATAAATAACATTCCAGATGAAAATGAAGATACGTTTCAACAGGAATTAAATGCTCTGGAAACTAAACTTAACACTGAATTACAAAAAGATCTAACAAATATTAAAAAACAAATACAAAACATAGATGATAGCGAAATCAAAACCTATATTCAACAACAAATACAAAACATAGATGATAGCGAAATCAAAACCTATATTCATCAACAAATACAGAACATTGATGACATTGTTATTCAACAACAGATAACCACTATTAATAACCTAGTTTTGAAACAGGAAAAAAATATAGTCGCATTAGAAAAAAAGTTTCTCATGAAAGAATCATATTATTTCAATCTTCCATTTGGAAGTTTGAATCTTAGTGATGGTTCTATTACTGATAATATTGACTATGAATTTAAAAAATATGGGTTTAAAGCATATATTAGAGTATATTCTGTTACAAATTATACTATTCACCCCAATAGTATTTTTGATTCAGATGATGAAACTTATGCTTCATTATTTTTTAATTTCCAAGGAAACTTTAATTGAAATTAATTTTCTTTTTCAGGTAAAAGTCGATTCAATATTCTTCAGACAAAACTCTCGTTTTTTTTAAAAAATTTAACGCTCGCAAAGTTCTTCAGTTTAACAATGGTATAAAAAATGTAGAAACTAAAGAATTAGAAATTACCCTTGAAAACACCAAGAGAGATCACTTATATGAAATTAAAACAAGTGGAAAATATATAGATAAGTTTAGAATGTTAATCATACCAGATAATGAAGAAGATGAACTTTCATTGAGTAATTTTGATATGTTATTGGAAACTGAAACTCCACCATCAGAAAGTATTATTAAAAATCCAGAACCACAAAAAAAAGATATAAGCAGTTATATGTTTTCACGAACGACAGACTTTGAATACATAAAACTATATTTGTTGATAATGGTAAATTTACCTCATTGATATTCATAAAAGTCAACAAAATCAAAAAATTTTAATAAGAGATGATGCATATGTTAATATATTAATCTATATTGAAAAACCAAGATTTTCAGTTCATCTGAATAAGATTAATGATTCGAAAGAACAATTATCGTTAGTAACTGTAGAAGTTGTTATTAATAAACACCTAGCAGCTTTATCAGAAGTTCACTTAATTTAATTACCTAAAAAATGGAACTCGAAAGTAGACAAAAATACATGATAGAAAAACAAAACGAACTAAAAGACAAACTAAAACAATTCATCAAATGCAGAAAAACATGGAGTAGAATCGATTCTGTTTTCAAAACATTAAGCACAGTTCTAACAGTAGGGATAACGGTGGCAACAGCCGTAACCGGTGGATTAATGCTTCCCAACTGTATTAGCCGCGTTCACTGCCGTTCAAACTTCATCTTGTGGTTTGATTACTTCAGGTTTTACATCAAAACACAAAGCTCATTATAAAAGGAAAACAGAAATTTTAAATACATATCTTAATAAATTGTTTATATTTTTCGAAAGATCGAGAGAAGACAAAAACATAACAGTTGAAGAATTAGAAAAATTCAATGAAATTTTAGATAAATATGATGTAGAAATATCATCAATAAAAGTTAAAAATTCCTAGTTAAAAATAGTTGCTTTAAAAATATGAATAAAATTGAAAATTTAGGCGATGAAAAATTCATAACAAATGAACGTTTTTCCAATGTTATTAATCTTATCTCTGATGAATTTACAACATTTAAAGGTCAAATTGAAATAGAAGGAGAGATAACTCAAGATGGAAAATTCAAACAAGACATAAAATTTGTAGGTTTTAATGCCAAAACTTTTGTCAATTTCTACATTGCGGTGGATAATAAATCGGATGCTTCTGATTGGTATTTCACAGGAAAAATGATTTTTCGTAAAAACAATTTCAAAGAAATAAAAAGATCAAAAAAAGGTAGTGGTGTTACCCTACTCAAAAAGATAAATGAATATATCGGTATAAATTGTTATATACCGAGCGATGGTACTGCTTTGTAAAGTGCGTTAATCGTGTTTTAAACGAAGACTACACGAGAGATTTTCAAGATTTCATCAACAGTTTTTCAAGATCAAACCGAAAAGGAGTTATGACATCTGCTAGAATCTGCGAATTCAATAAGAAATTTAATACTTATTTTCAAATTTATATGCCCAAACATAGACATTTTCAACCAAAGAAAGTATCCGAAGAATTAGATTGGGTTTTTTATTTACACAAAGAACATTTCTGTTTGATAAGAAGAAATAACAAAACCTTAGGCATTAAAGAAATAGAAGATAATTACGATGAAAATGTATGGAGAACTTGTAAAGATGATAATGCGGTAACGCAAGTTTCACCTCTAAAACTAAATGTTTTTCCAACCATTCCCGATGATTGTTTATACGCGTGGGATTGCGAAATCTATAACGAAAATAAAGCCATACCTTATTCTTGCACTTTAATTAATTTAGAAGAACTAAGAAAAATGTTAAACAGAATCTCTTTCCAGATTTAAAGCCGACAGATCCCATTCCAGAAGAATTTTACAACCAACTCATGACTAATATAGTAGAAATATTTGTAGGTATAGATTGTATCGGTCAAATGTTACAACGTTTAGGAAAAATAGATCAAAAAAGAATAACATTAATTGCTCATAACGCTAACGGTTTTGATAACTGGATCAAGATCAAAAACGTAAAAAAACTAACACAATGTCCTTTAAAAACGCCCAGAGGAATTCTGTCTCTACCTTTAACTAATTCATTCACCGACGAAGATTTACAGAAAAAATGGAAAAGACAGAAAGAAATAAAGGGTAACTCTAATTATTTGCAAAATATTAATTTCATATGTTCCTATCAACAGTAATCATCTAGTTTGGCAGCATGGGGGAATTCATCTAATCTACCAATGAATTTGAGAAAGATCGAGGATGTTAATATTGCAAAATACACTAAAGATAATTGAGAATCTTTAAGACACGAATGGGAACCTTACGCTAAAAGAGATACGTTATGTCTCGGAGCTTGTTTGATAAAATACAATCAAGCAATGAAAGAAGTTGTATTTCAGAATATTTCCAATAATCTAACGACTCCTTCTTTATCTTTAAAGGGTTGGTATTATTTATATCATTACGATAAAGAAATGATTGAAGAAGAATGGTATGAAACTACTAGAATGGTTCCGAAACACACCGAAAAAGAAAACGTAGAAAAAGTTTACTCACATACTCACCCTTTTATAAGATATTTCATCAGACAAAGTATTAAAGGAGGAAGAGTTTCGGCAAATCGAAAATCATTTGAAACGAATAAAATGGATGAAATTTGTAATATATTAAAGGAATACAGTGCAAGTGACTCTAATAATATAATTAATTGGTTTCAAAGAATATAGCGCTAGCACGAAAGATAAAACGGAGGTTCATTCGAGACTTAAAAAAATAAAATGTACTAAACTAATGGCCTTTGATGCTAACGGTTTGTACGCTTCCACCATGTCGGATTTAGATAGCGAATATCCGAGAGCGGAAAGTGGTAGACCACTTCTACCGAAAGAAAATACAGAATTTGTCAAGCTCTTTAATGAACAGAAATTCAGACCTAGAACTGCTATTTTAAAAGTCTGGTTTGAATATCCCAAAAACATGTTCTTCCAACCCATACCAGCTAAAGATAAAATCACCATCACGAATAAAGAAGGTAAAAGGAAACTGGCACTAAAATCAGGTTTAGAAATGGTTTCTGTCACGACGTTTTAACATCGGTCGATATTCAAGAAATAGTGAAAGCCGGTGGACGAATTATTAAAATATTAAATGGTATAGTTTACGAAGAAAATTTTAAAACTCCACCCTATAGAGATTATATTTTAATTTTGAGAGATCTAAGAAATAAATATAAACGAGAAGGTAATATGGTAGGTAGTAATTGCATGAAATTATTAGGCAATTCGTTGTATGGTAAATCTATTCAGAAGGATATAACTACATCGAGACATCTATGGAGTGAAGCGACTTTAAAAGCCAACTATGATTCACACGTCAAAAGCTATGAAAAAGTAAATGATAGTCAATATATAGTTGAGATAAATGAAGAAGCAAAAGAATTTATTCTTCCTAAGGATTCTACAAGATTAACACCTAGTCATTTGGGATCATTCGTTTTATCCCACAGTAAAAAAATAATGAATATTCACGTGAAAGATGGATTTTATAAACCGAAAATATACTATACGGATACCGAGAGTTTATACATTTCGTCTAGCAATTGGGATATATCAAATGAAGCTGGGTTGGTGTCCTAAAATGTTTATTGTAAAGGAAAGAATGATTACGGTGATGGTGGAATTATACCACCCTAGGCCTGTACATTTGGGAGAATCAAACCCTCCCTTCCCCGAAATCTAAAGATAAGATATCCGTAGAAGATTATATTCGATTAGCTAGTGGACTCGATGTAACGAATGAATTTAAGAAACCTTGGGTAAAAAGTTTTACCAATGGAGTAGTTATTCCAAAGGATGATGATAAACAAAAGAAAGTTTTTAGAAGTTATCTGAATCTCGTTAAGAGGAAAGCACCAAACAGTGAAGGAATCATGTATCCTTACAACGACGGAAAAGAATTGAACATAGATGAAAACTACGAATTTGATGATCACGATTATCTAACTATTCAAGAAGAGAATGAAGAGTGTTAATTTTTTTGTTTTAAATGAAGTTGAATAACAATTTCCTCGTACCAAAATCTATAAACCTATTTTTACCATCTTTGATTTTCAGATTTATATATTTAATCATAAAGGAATTAAGTGGTAAATACGTCGTTTGAAATGATTTCTCTATAATTCTATATCCTATCGGTACAGTGAATGTTGGAAGACTGTAAATAATCTGACGTTTGTATTTATTGAAAAATCCACCGTTTATCAAATTGCAATGTATATTTATCACATGGATATCATTCTCGATATTAGCTTTGTGTGGTGCTACTGTGGATTGGGTGTATACTCGTTTATCAAATCCTAGTAACGTATTCAATGAATTTTCTACGTTGAAATCAACTTGACTATTATTTCTTAATATCAATTTTATTTTGTTCAGATTCAAATTACCATCGAATTCAATATTGTTTTTACCATTGACACTTCCTCCATATTCAGATAGGTATTCGTTAATTGCTATGTATTCGTAGCTTCCTGGTAGTAAACGTATGGTTGTGAACGTAACTCCGTTATCTATTGATATTTTTATTTGGTTATTTTTTTCGTTGATATTTCTAATGGAATTGTAAACAGAGAAATACTTTAATCCCAATTCATATTCTTGATTGCGATCGAGTTCGTACTCATAATCTAGAGATAATTTAGTGTCTGATTTATTTGAGGTGATGACGAATAGTTGTTCTTTATTTGACATTTTTATTCGCCCAGACGTAAGATGGGCGTATATTGTAATCACCCCGTCGGTCCGACGGTCCGTCCGTCCGTCCGTCCGTTCACATTTGGCTCGTGCTCACTCTACAGGCTACAGTTCTTTATGGATTCTTTTGATTTTTATTTTGTGTGTCAATGTCATTATGAAGATGATCCCTATTGATTTTCGTGATGATCGGATAATTTTTCACCGAAATATCGTGTCTGACTTGACGATTTTCTCTATTAGCTATATTGTGCAACTCGTGCTCACTCTACAGGCTACAATTTTTTACAGATTCTTTTGATTTTTATTTTGTGTGTCAATGTCATTATGAAGATGATCCCTATTGATTTTCGCGATGATCGGATAATTTTTCACCGAAATATCGTGTCTGACTTGATGTTTCACTCTATTAGCTATATTGTGCAACCCTGTAGTCACTAAAGACTGTTTAATCATTTCTGTCATTTCTGACAGCTGCCAGTGGGCGTATGTTACCTTGCCTGGCAAGCTATCTTTAATCACGCTTTTATAATCACTTTTATCTATGATACCTTTTTCTAGGAGTCTTTTTCATATACAATTTACTTCATTATATTGTCTGTGTGATCGATGTCCTTCCTTCATTGCCGCTAATATAATTTGTAATCTATTAAGTAGTTCCTCGGATAAAAACGTTATACCTTCTCCAGATACCATATCTTCGAATTCATCTATTTCTTGTATGATTGGTGGATAATCTTCTGCATAATCATCTGATTCCTCTTCATAAGGAATAACTTTATTTAAAATGTTTCAACTGCCATCAATCTTTTTGTTTTGCGCTTATTCTTTATCATATACAGAAATTTTAAGTATTCTACTAAATCCTTGAGTTTGGCAATCTCAATATCCCCGCCATTCATTAAATCTATTAATCCTTCTGTTAATGTAAATATAAAGTCTTTTGTATCGATTTTGAATATTGGTGAATTTCCACTAAATCTTATTCTAAATCCATTAAACAATAGCCCTTCATTATCAACAATTGGTGAAATGGTCTTTGGTAAATTTGGGTCAGGGTTTGAAAAATAATGATTTATATCATATAATGACTTCATGATTTCATCATCTTTAAGGGAATATTCTATAGAAGGAACCGGTGATTGTTGAATTTGTTTAGGTTCTAATTTCTTTTTAATATCCCCTTGAGATTTTAATATGGGTTGAAATAGAGTTTGTAGATTTTCCGTTAATCCGAGTTATTTTCAACTTGGGTCTTTATTTTATTCTTAGCTTTGATATATTCTTTATTTCTTTTTAAAATATTATTCCAATTATCCATTTTTAAAAAAATAAAATTAACATATGCCGAGCATAACTCTTTCACCTGCAGGTTTTCTAGTATTAACGAATATATACCCATGATCATCTGGGTTTTTCCATTGAGCTTTACAAACCTTTTTAAATGCATCTGTCTATTCCGTGATTTATCGACTGAATGATTTGAGATAAATCTTTATCGTTTAATTCAAATAATGAAAAAACAATTTGCATTTTTTCTAATAAACATAGAATCCATCCCGTAAAAAGATTGGGATTGGTATATGCAGTGACAGTTATGATGTCTTCCCTTCGTGAAGAATTCTTGTTGAACAGCTTGATTTCTTTCCGCTACGCAGTCGTCAAACAATATTAAGTTCTTTAGTTTGCTATAAATATTAGACAAGTCTAGGTCATTAACAATTTTCGTAAGAAAAACTTCTATATCCGTTGGACTCTTTCCTTCGATATCTAAGATATCTTTTATTTCCACTTCTTCTTCATTTTCTTCGTAATATTTAAATAGATCTTGAACATCCTTCTTTGGTAGTTAAAGCTTTGAGAAATTGATAATACGATTGCTCTGGTGTTGTTGTGTAGATATACAAAGAATCGAAATCTAAAAGGTTTGGTGTTGTCAACATGTTAAACGAGAGATGAGTTTTCCCAGAACCGGAACTACCGCATATATACATGAACATTGGGTTATTAGGAAATATTTCTGAATGATTATATTTTTTGCCCATTTTTTATTATTTTAATTTGTTCCAAAAATAACTCCTTCTCCTTTATACTTTGAAAGAAATATTCATTCTCCAGTGTGTATATTTTTTTTAAAAATATTCCATTACCCTTATGTTTGACTTTGATTTCTCCTGTGTGAATACTATCTACTAATTTATTTCATCCTTGTTTAACAGTTTTCTTGGTTTCTTCACTAAATCTTTTTCCAAATTCTTTCATTGTGCCTATCATATCTCCAACTCCTGAACCTTTCTTTTCCGTTTTAGGTTTTTACCCTCTGCTGCCAACTTTTCCAATCTTAAATTATGTCTATGTTCTTCGGCTGCTTTCTTTTCTTCGACCGCTTTTGAAGCAGCAACTTCTGCAATAGCAGCTTTCTTTTCGTTGGCAACGCTTACTCCACCAGCTGTAGCACCAACCACTGTAGCCGCCGCGGTAATACCAGCAAATATTAAAGTTAGGGAAAATATAAATCCACCTTCTTTTGCGTTCGCGTCAATTCTTTCTAAGTCTATATCGTCTCTGACTTTATAATATTTATATTTATCAATAAGTTTTTTAGTTATGCTGATTTTTTTACCATTATAAGTTATTGTAGTAGGTGAAGCTGTTTCTATAGCTTCTATTATTTTCTTGACTAAAGTTTCTGGTTTCATTTTTAAAGGTGTATTTTTTACTCAATTCTTATCATTCTTCTATCTGCTATTTTAATTAAATGTTTTGCTTCTTCCAATAATAAACAATAACCTGTTACATCTCCTTGTGTTTTTTCAATATGAATATTTATGTTGACTCCTGTTTTGAAAAGATCTTCTTGGTGAGCTGATAGATCAAAACAGAAGATTGGATGATTAATTGCAAAATCTACATATTCAAACTGAGGTAGATTTCCAAATAATTCACACATATTTTTATAGTTTCTATACAATTCATTATAATCCTTTGTGGTTCGATTAATTGTTAAAGGTTGGTTAGTATAATTATCGTTGTTTAATCTTACTTGAACTTTATGGATTAAAGGATTTTGATTTCGGGGAAGGGAGGATTTGATTCTCCCAAATGTACAGGCCTAAGGTGGAGCAGACACTTTATTTAGAAATTAGGATTAAGAGTCTTGATATTGGGTTTTCTTCTGTTCTTATTCTGATTAGAAAAAATAACTCGCCCGATGGGCGAGAAGTATAGTATCTGTTATGTACTGATTGTTTTTAGTTTACTATGAACAATATTAACATTTAAGTTCTTATTTTTTGAATATGCAACTATCATTTTCTGCTTATAGACATGGGGGAATTTCTTTTGAAGGCTCTTATAGTGGGCATGAACTATCTTGCTTGCTCGATTGCTGGTTGTATTAAACGGGACAACAAAGGGTGCTATGCCTACATTATGATGAATATTTAGTCCTATAGGTCTTGCTGTATTCAATGTCTCAATCCAATGGGCCTCCCTAGATTGACGAAATTTGGTAGTTTCATCTTCGGGCAAGTCAATTTCTATTCGCTTAATTGGGATTAGGGTGAGATCGTCTATTGAATGGTGGTCGAGGTTGAAATTATTAGAAACAGGCTTGTCTTTCTTTAATTTGATGTCTGACCTATGAGCATTAAAGCGAGTTCGTAAATTATTCTTAGTTTCTCCTACATATTGTTTGGGGCATTTCTTGCATGAAATTAAATATATTACATTCGAATTTTCACATGTTAGATGTTCCTGGATTGGGTACCTTTTATTCGTAGAGTTGCTTACAAAATAATGAGTTTCTGATATAAAGGGACATGTTTTGCATCTACTGGACAAACATGGAGCACTTCTTAAACCTGGAGGAACTTCGGCATAAAGTCTGTTTTTAGCTGCTATCTGTGCTAAGGTGGAATTTTTTATGTTTCGTAAAAATCGTTTAGAGTACCCACGCTCTTTCAGTTTTGAGAAAACAATTGTACAGGCTTGGTTGAAATCAGAAGATCTTGTACAAATTCGATGAAATCGTAAAATTTGTGACTTAATTATACCAGAAAAGGTATGTTTTGGGTGAAAGGAGCTCTTGTGCAAGAGTTGATGAGTATCAGTTTCTTTGAAATACACTTTAATATCCAGTTTATTTGTTTCTGCTATGGAATCTCCCTTAAAGACTGTGGTATCGAGAAAGTCTATGCTTTTGTCACTCACGTTTGCGGTTAGTTTGATAGAAGGATGGTGGTTGTTGAGAATTTCAAAGAATTCCCAAAACTGTTCGATAGAATAAGTCCAAACCATAAAAATGTCACCCAAAAAGCGTAAGTAAAAAAGTGGGTCAAATGGACAGAGGGGCAACACCTCACGTTCCGACTCTGCCATGAAAAGGTTTGCGTACGAAGGGGCGAATCGTTTGCCCATTGCTGTCCCTGAAGTTTGTAAATATGTTTTACCATTAAATGTGAAATCGTTTGGATCTGGGTTTCTATTAAAAGCTTTACGAACTGCCGTTAAACCAGTAGTGTTATCGATATTGGTATACATAGAAGAAACGTCGATAGAAATTAAAATAGCATTAGAGGGAACTCGAAGATTTTTTATTTTATTGACAAAATCGGTTGTGTCTTTAAGGTAGGCGCGATGTTGGCATGCTAGAGGTAGTAAGAAATGATCAATGTATTGTGACACTGCATATGACTCACTACCACAGTCAGATATAATCGGGCGGCCTTTAGGGATTTTATTCGAGATAAACCACTCCTTGGTTGGATTCTTATGGATTTTAGGCAAAGTGTACAAATGTCTCTCGCGACAATCGGGTTTGGCAGACAGATAGTTATATTGTTTCTGTTTGAGATAACTAGTTTTGACTAAATCGGCAAGAATATTATTAATCATGTCAGCAGTTTCTTTGAAAATTGGTTTCGGTAAAATGGCATAATGTTTAGGATTATTCAGTTGATTCTCTGCTTCTGAAACGTAATCCTCCCTATTCAGAATGACACAACATGAACCTTTGTCACTCTTTTTAATAACAATGCTATCGTCTTTCTTAAGTAAGTTTAACGCTTCACGTTCCACTCGTGTGAGATTAGGCTTTTCGTGTGTTATGGAAAGGTTCACTGTTTGGCTATTCATACTCGCAAATGCTTTCAATATTTCAGGATGGATGGCGGCCTGAGGGGGTGTCCACGTGGATTTAGGAATAAACATTGTTCTAGCACCACGTGGGGGGTGGTTTCGAAAAAAATATGTGCAGCTAAGATTTCGTTGAAATCGTTCAATGGATCGTCGGAGATAATTCAAGTTAGCTATCTTTGGTGCGGGAATAAACTTAAGTCCACGGTTTAAGATTGAATGCTGAAGGGGTGTGAGAATTTTGCGGCTCAAGTTAACTACAGTTTGGCCTAGCGGTGGCCTCTCAGTATTTTTATCCCCAGTAATTAGTTTAAAGACTTACTCGTTGCTTGAAGCTGGTGTATCCAAAACAAATAGATGCTGTTTGCTGTTTCTGGAGACCAATGAAGATTATCAACTGTTTCGAATTCTTCTTCGTAGGGTGGTAAGATTGTTGCGCTGTTGATACTGGACTCATCATGTTGTTGAGAGTGCTGAGGTTCTGTTGTGCTTTCTTCGAGATTTTATTTGATATGGGTATACATGTGAAGAGGATCTTGGAGTTTGGGAAGGTTTTGTTGGCTGTGGCGATTAATTTCTGGGCTTGGTTAAAGGAGGTCTTTGGTATCTAATCACGGTTGTTGAGGCCTACATGAAGAATAATGGTAGTCGGTTTGGGATCATGGTCGTATGATTCCAGGATTGACTGTATGTGATGGATTTGGGCACCGGGGTAAGAATGTATTTCGGTGTCTGAACTGGTTTTGGTAATTCGATTCAGGTTAGATGATCCAATTATTAAGGTAGATTTCTTTAGAGCAGGTAGTTTCCATAATGATTTGTCCTTGGTTTGGTGATAATACGGTTTGGTAGCGGATATAATGGTCGTCGACGGTGTGATTGGTACTGGTTTGGTAGCTGTTAGAATTGTAGCATTGGGAACGGACTGGGATCTGGTTCGAGGGGGGGAAGGTCTGGATACACGTCTCGACTTGGATGGAGACTGAGGGGTGGTTTGCTGGTCCAAAAACGCACAGAAGGAAGAAAGGTTGGCGGATCCTGGATCACGTGGTGAAGATTCAGATGGTGTGGAAGGGGAAGACGAGTCTGAAAGTGAAAAGAGAAGGGGTGTGCCCTCTCTACGAGAGCGTTTACCTATGTCTGCTGGACTAGGAGTAGGTGAACTTCGGGCTCGTTTTAGGCGTTTGGTTCGGCAGAGTGGTGGCTCTAGATGGTGCAGGTGTAGTGACCATTTCAGTTGGTAGAGATATGGTTACTCTGGTTTTTGTTTCGTTGATTGTTTGGTAGAATTTGGAGATTACAGCTTGAGTGAGACGTTTCCCATAGGAGCGACGGGCCCAGGACAGGGCATGAGAAACGATGCGGTCGACGGCAGGTGATGATAAAGACTTGGTACGAATGGTGGTCAGCTTCTCTTGAAGTGTGGTTTGGTAATGGTCGATCAGGACCTGCGTAACCTTACAGAGCCATGTCCGATTGAGGGATCTAATATTCGCGTCGACAGCTGATGTTTTCATTGCTGGACGGATAAAACTATCCAACTCAGAGACTTTGCGTTTGAAGGTAAACGCTGGTTGGCCTTGCTGTTGAAGGGTAAGGATTGCCAAATGACGGAGGCACTGCAAAACTTAGAAGAACACCTTCACAAAGGGTTCTTCCTCCTTATGAGTGGGGACTGGTTGGCGTCGGTGGGCTGGTAGTCGTTTCTGTTGTTGGTCAGGTCGATGGTTACCTCTTGATTGGTAGGCTGTGTTGTAGGTAGGTCGGCGATGGGGTGGGATATAGCTGGATTGGTTGGTTGTGGTCGGCGATTGGAAGGTGGTAGAGGTCGATGGAAGACAGGGCCGTTGTAGGGTACGTGATATTGGTTTGGTTGACTATTAGTGTTTCTCTGTCTGGCTTCTTGCCAGTGGTTGTTGTAGTTGGGGAGCATAATGAAAAAAACTTGGGGTTAGAAGGGAATGTACAGCGGATGTAACAGGAGGAAACTGTATATGCTAGCGTGAAAATGTTGGGATCAAATTATGCAAATAAGTCAAACTGGGTTTGGGGATATATAAAGTAAGATGAAAAATGCAAAAAAATATATATTTAGGTGATAAATAACACTAACAATGATGTGAAAAATTATAACAAGTAAAACAAAAACTTACGCAATTGACTCGAACCGGTTTTCGAAATATTATCCTTTTTCAAGTGTCGAGGAATGGTTAAACCAACCATTAAATATCTTGCTGGTTTAATAGTGTTAGTGATTGGCCACGTAGTGGATTCTCCCGTTAAAGTCATGCTACCTACCGTATTACGAAGAAGAAAAGCTATTTCAATATCTTTAGTTAATGAGTTGAATATTCTCGTTTCTACTTCAAATGATGGTGTTATTACGGGTATGAAAAGTTGGAGATTCGTTTTTTCTAATTTTGCATCTGAACCATTCTCTCCAAAGAATATCTTATCATCGTTGATTTCTCTTTGTAGATGAATTTTATGTGGTAACCCTATGGAAACCTTTCTGTGTTCCAACAGACCGAATAAAGGATATAATTTCCAATTTACGTAATTACCCCACCTATTATTCTCAACAATATTATTGTACTGAAGTACTCGCTTTTCGAATCCATGATTAGCTGCTCGTGCTACTCTTTCTATTGTGTTTCGAGCAACAACTCTCACTCTATCTAAATCAGCATCATTTGCAACATTTCTTACCGGTTCTTTTAAAACACTTCCATCACCAACATCGGGTATCCAACCCGAGACTGAATTGAAATCTTTAGGATATAAAACTGTTTTCAACATTGTGTCGAATTCCCCAGGGTGTTTGATTGTTTCTATCGCATTTGAACCAGCTTCCAAAACCATCTCGCTAAATAAAGATGGAAAGAAATTGTTTTCTAAAGTTGTATTAGTTTGTGGTAATTGATTCTGAGTTCCATCTTTAATTTTGAAATCGCATCTGAAATAAGCATCGGAAAGAAGCAACCAATTCGATAATGAATTTATTTCGAAGGTAATTCTACCACCATCATTCAATTGGGATTTAGAACCAACAGTCGGTGATTGAAGATAATCACGGTATTTAACGAAACACATTGGGAATCTCGAAAAGATTATAAATAATGTCACAGCACCAATGTCTATCTCTTAAAGGTTGGTAATATTAATATAAGACACTATGTTAGACGCTCTGTAAAAGATGGTAGAGTTTCAGCAAACATAACGAAATTCAGGTCGAATGAAGTAATGAAATATGTCAACAGTTGAAAAAGTATTTAGAGACGGTTGAAAACACTCAGCTGAATGCTAGTTCTCAGATAATTCACTTACTTAAAAAATATAAAGAAGCTAACAAAGATCTATTAGGTCTTTACGAAGAGATGAAAAAATTCGTTTCGCAGTCCACTAAATTAATGGCATTTGACTCTTATGGCCTTTATGCTTTTGCTATGTGTGATGGTGAATATCCAAATGCTGAATCAGCAAGAGCTTTCGAACATCCCAAAACAACCAATTCGTGAAGCTTTTTAATAAACAAAAATTTAGATCAATGTGGGGTATTTTTCTGTTTGGTTGGAATATCCAAAATATATGTTTGTTTTTCAACCAATACCAGTCAAAGACAAAATAAGTTATCCTGTTAAAGAAGACTATTACTCATCGGGTTGGATTTCAGATTTGGGAGATGCAGGAATTCAAAGCAATCAAGAAGACATAGCGCGTGATGACAACGAAGGAACAGGTAGAACTGCAGTTAGAAATTTAATCAATGTTTCAAAATTTTAAAATGATAAAGGTTATAAAACAGTTGGGTAACTTATGTTAACTGGCTTCTATATCCACTATTCGGTTTACTCGAACATAGAAAGGTTTACATTGGTCTTCCTGTCAAATTCCATCTTCAAAGAACAATAAATAATGATAGAATATTTTTTGGAGAAGACAATTCAAATGCTAAATTGGAAATATTCAATTATATGTTCCAGCAATAACAATTGAAACAGAAACAATAGTTTGCCAAAAGATATTGATATAGCATTTTTAAAAAGAAACACGATTGGGTCGATAACAATCACAGGTGAGAATTACACATGGCAAGTAACAAACACTACAAAACCAGCAAGATATTTATTACTTGGTTTCAAAACTCTTCCGGATTCGCAAAAAAATATGATAACCTTTTAAAAATAACCGGTGACAACTTTCGAGATCCTAAAATAAAAAAGAGTTTAGGTAAGAATGAATAACGAAAATTATTCAAACCAACCTTTAACAATTGATCCAGATACTACAGATTTTAACGAATTGGTCAAAATGATCCCCCCCCCCCCCCATCCTCAAATTCAAAATGTCCCTAGTTTAAAAATATTAAATTATAATTAGTAGCTTATCTGAGTGATTATCAAAGACTAATAGTTTGTAGCTTACGTGATGATTAATGAAAGAAAAAGTACAGTAGTTTGTAGCTTATTGAAGTGATGATGTGTATATTTGTTTTAAAATAAATACTGTTTAAACCGAGTCAAATGTTTCCATGACAGCCAAGTAATAAATGGAATTGGTTGAAAGTGGGGCTGAGTTTCAATACACCTGTAAGAGTTGTATTGTATACGGAAACTATTAAAAAATCTTAGCAACATTTGAACGATAATAAACATTGACACACAATACATCAATTCAAAGATTAAGATTAATCTGTTATACACACCAATTAATTCAAATTATTAAATAAATTTATGGATATATTCAATATGAAGAGTACATAATATTTTACCAAGATGAGACCTGTTCAATATATATACAAGTCAACTGAGACTGGTGAAATTACCTTGCTGCCAACAACTCTTGATATTTTTTACCTACAGGATATGCCGTGATACGACCAAAACACCCCTATGCTATTGTTCTCTGATCCAATCCCTCTAAACCTATTTCGGCACCGAAATACAAACAACATTCTGTCAAAACATTGATATACTAGAACCATTCGTGGTACTGAGTGGGACTTTGCTCTTGTGCCAATTTGCTAGAGAATCTGAAAAAATCAACGTTCTTTGCCAATTAGGTCACGTACTGCAGCAGTTAAAATTTTTGAAAATTTCGCTTTTTAGGAAGGTTGTTAAAGCGGAAGTTGAAGCCAGACATAAAATATGAAAGTATGATTAGATTTCCAAGGTCAATGACCTTTGACCATGTTAAGGGGAAGGTCATTTAAGGTCAACGTCACTAGATATGAGTCATCAAACTTTGAAAATACAATCATTATAAAACCGGAAGTTGACGATGAACATCAAATATGAAGGAATAAATCTTTAGCCAAGGTCAATGTCCTTCGATCCTACAAAGGTCAAGGTCATCAATGGTAAAGGTCAAAAATGAAAATATGCAAAATTTAAACCATGTTCCTTTTTTTGAACTACGAAGCGGAAACAACTGACCTTTTCACACAAATGGCCAAAGGGGTGAGGTAATTGTGTGCAAGGTCCTGTTTTGAACAAATGTATTTTATACAAGTTATATCCCCTGATAAAAATGTAAATAATAACTATTTTAAGCCTAATGTGTCACGCCCACCTCAACTTTTTTTGTCATACGTCAATTTATATTTAATATGTCTCGTTGTGTTCCACATTTCAAGCTTTTACAGCAAATAGGTCATAAGAAATACATAGAACATATTGTAAAAAAACACCAAAATTTCAAAAATTATTATTATTATATATCACTGGAAAGAGCACGATGAGCACATTCAGAATCCACAAAAATTTACCCTTATAGTTAATTAGGTCAAGAGCTAGAGCAGTCCAAATTTGCGAATTTGGATGTTTTTGGACTGCTATAAAAGCGGAAGTAGACGTCAGAGGTCAAATATGAAAGCATAAACTAATAGACAAGGTCAATGACCGTTGACCCAATCAAGGTCAAGGTCATCAAAGGTCAAGGTCAAAAATTGAAAATTGTGAATTTCCAAAACCTGTTCCTTTTTTTGATTTATGAAGCTGAACTAACTGACCTTCTAAGACAAAGTGGCTCACGGGATGATGTAATTGTGGGCAAAGTTCCATTTTTAACAAATGTATTCTTTGCTAGTTATGCCTCTGGTCAAAAATGTCAATAATGAGTAATTGAGGTAATGAGGTAATTGTGTGCAAAGTCCCTTTTTGAACAAATGTATCCTGTGCGAGATATGCCCCTGCCCCTAAATGTATACAATTAGTAATTCAACCCGGATGTGCCACGCCCACCTCAACTTTTTTGTCATAAGTGAATTCATATTCAACATGTCTAGTTCTGTTCCAAATATCAAGGTTCTACATAAAATAGGTCATAAGATAGACATACACCAAGATCAAAAAGACACAAATATGGTAAAACAAAACTCAAATTTGAAAAAATCACCAATTTCAATTTTGCTTTAAAAATACGATTGTTATATATCACTGGAAAGAGCATGAGAAGCATATCAAGAATCCGAAAAAATTGACCCTTTAAGTTATTCAGGTCACATGATAGAGCAGTCCAAATTTGCAAATTTGGCTGTTTTCTGAACGCTATAAAACCAGAAGTACTAGTCGGAGGTCAAATGTCAAAGTGTCAACTGATAGCCAAGGTCAATGACCTTTAACCTTATAAAGATCAAGGTCATCAAAGGTCAAGGTCACGAGACAGAACTTGCAAAAACTTCAACCGGAAGTTGCAAAAAAGGAAAGGGGAAAATCAAACATGGGCTTCCTAGTTTTTGTTGGCAATCGATTGCAGTTTATATACACATCAAAATTATATACGCCAACTTCTCCATAGAAGCCCCATTTTTCGTTTTACAAAAGTGTGTCATATCAAAATGGCGGCCGAAATATCGCTTCCGGTCCGAATTTTTTTTTCTTCGTTTTTTTGTAATAAAGTTGACTACCGATCAATATTTTGTGTCGTTGCTCTATATAAATTACACCGGAAGTTA